GAGAAAAAATTCATCCGACCGAGCTCATCGCCATTCGCCGCACCGATCCTGTTCACACCAAAAAAGGACGGAGGATTTCGCATGTGTATCGACTACAGAGCACTGAACAAGGTTACAGTCAAATCACGATACCCCATCCCCTGCGCCGACAAACTGATAGATCAACTGCGCACAGCTTGGGTCTTTTCGAAAATCGTTTTACGAGGAGGTTACCATCAGATTAGGGTCGAACCATCGGACTGTGCCAAGACGGCATTTAGGACTAGGTACGGGTCGTTCGAATACACAGTAATGCCTTTCGGGTTGACCAACGCGCCGGCGACTTTCCAAATGACAATGAACGAGGCGTTTAGGCCAATCCTAGATAAATGTGTGATCATCTACCTGGATGACATCCTAGTCTACAGTCGAGATAAGCAGCAACACTTAGCCGATTTAGAAGCAGTATTTACAGTTCTAGACAAGCATAGACTACTGACCAAGGGTTCGAAGTGTCAAACTTATATGCTATAGTCTGTTTAGGCTGTAGTGGGGTAGTTCATACAGGGTACAACACTTTTAGGTTTCCTACTTGTACCCACCTGCTTGCTAGTTCAGTCATTCATTCCTTCACTATTCTGACATGGTATTATGAGCAGGTTCCCTAGTGGGAACGGTTTTTTTTAGGGCCCACCACGATTTTTTTTCCTGCCCTGCCCGAAGCGCGCCTCGCGCCTGCTGTTAAGAAACGGTTGCAAGTTAGAAATGAGAAAGAGGGGTTTCACTAGCAAGCAGTTGAGTACATATAGCAAACCCTAAATTGGGCTGTACTCACTATTGAGTACCCCACTGCAGGCTAGACAAAACATAACATTCTGACACACCCCCATAGCCAAAGTGGGGTGTAATCAGCACAACAAGAACAGCAAAACAAGCTCAGGGTGGATCACAATGTCACCACACATTCTGAGCACAAGTACAAGCAGCAGCAGTTTATAGTTCACAAATATAAGCAAAGCTAGAGGCAGTCACAGACGGTAAGTGAGAAGGAGGAGGGACTGTGAGAGGAGAAGAGATAGGAGACGACAGGTGAAGCTGCAGACACACGGGCAACAGGAGCGGCGCGCACTGTGGCTACCGGAGATTGTAGCCTCCGGACTCCTGGAGTAACTGGCTCCGCGACTAACTCTGAGCTGCAGGAGCAACGGACCCACGGGCGACTGGCGCAGCAGGCTCGCTGGGCTACCGGAGATTGTAGCCTCCGGACTACTGGCGCTGCTGGCGACACGACAGCTGCCTCCGCCCAACATCCTCTAACTGCCTCACCCCCCTTTCACACACCCCCTGATGCACCTCTAGCACTACTCATACTCCACCCCCTAGCACCACTCCATCGGCTCCCACATACCCACCCCCCTCAGCGGCAGCTGCAGCAGTGGGAGACGGAGGAGGAGGAGGAGCAGGGGATGCCACTCACCCGCCACCCCAAAACCCTAACATAGGGTAGGGCCGTAGATGGCGGGTAGGGAGGGTACGGGGGGGGGGGGGGGGGGGGGGGGCAGGGCCGCGACGAAAACAGGAGGGGCCGACGCGTAGCCCCCTTCAGTACGGCCCCCCCCAGGGTCGCCTCGACAGGCGACGGGAATTGGGGCCACGCGGGCCCCAAATGGCGCCGCGACGGGGTCGCAATGGGCGACGGGGCAGGGCCGGGGCAGGGCTGGGGTAGGGCCAGAGCAGGGCCAGGACAGGGAAGGGGCGAGGCCGCGACAGGTCCGGGACAGGGCCGCGACAGGGTCGGGGCAGGGTCGGGGCCGCGACAGGGCCGCGACGGGCGACGGGGCAGGTCCGGGGAGAGGCCGGGGCGAGGCCGCGACGGGTCGCGACAGGCGACGAGGCAGGGCCGGGGCGAGGCCGGGGCAGGGCCGCGACGGGGCCGCGACGGGGGGCCACGAAGGGGCCGCGACGGGCAGAAAACCGCCGCGCGCCCCTAGCGCGCGGCGGGAAGAAAAAAGGGCCGCGCGCCATGGGCGCGCGGCAGGAAGGAAGATAGTGCGCGCCCGAGGCGCGCGATAGGCAGGACAGCAGCAGCGGAAGCATTGGTGGGGGCCCATACACAGGATCGACCCGAGGGGGTCGACTTACTCTGATTCCATGTTAAGAAACAGTTGCAAGTTAGAAATGAGAAAGAGGGGTTTCACTAGCAAGCAGTTGAGTACATATAGCAAACCCTAAATTGGGCTGTACTCACTATTGAGTACCCCACTGCAGGCTAGACAAAACATAACATTCTGACACCTGCCTCACCTGCGCCGTCGCGCGCCCTGCTCTAGTACGGCCCGTCGCGGCCCTGCCTTCGCCACCCGTCGCTGGCCCGTCCCGGCCCGTCCCGGCCCGTCGCCGCTCGTCGCGGCCCTGCCTTCGCCGCCCACTGCGGCCCTGCCCTGCAGCCGCCCTGTCACGGCCCTGCCTTTCGCCGCCCGTTGCTGGCCCGTCCCGGCCCATTGCCGCTCGTCGCCGGCCCCTCGTCGCCCGTCGCTGGCCCGTCGCCGCTCGTCGCGGCCCTGCCTTTGCCGCCATGTCGTGGCTCTGCCCTGCTGCCGCCCCATTCGCGGCCCTGCCTTCGCCGCCCGTCGCGGCCCTGCCCTGCAGCCGCCCTGTCGCGGCCCTGCCCTGCTGCCGCCCCAGTCGCGGCCCTGACCTAAACCGCCAGCTGCGGCCCTGCCCTGCACCCGCCCCTGGTAAGCACCCTGCCGCGCCGCGCCGCCAGGAGCCGAGCCGCGCCGCCCAGCCGAGCCGCGCCGCCCAGCCGAGCCGCGCAGCCGAGCCGAGCCGCGCCGCCTTGCCAAGCCGCACCGCCCAGCCGAGCCGCGCCGCCCTACGGAGCCGCGCCGCCCTGCCGAGCCGCGCCGCCCCACTGAGCCGCACTGCCCTGCCCGCACTGCTCCTACTGCTACTGCTGCTTCTACTGCCACTGCTGCTACTGCTGCTACTGCCGCTATGGCTAGCCCTACTATTCTTACCTTTGATGCTGAGGGGCGTGCGGTTGACTTTGACGTGTGGGTTGACGACCTGCAGCTCTTCCTTCAGTGTGACTCTAGGGACGGGGTATCCCTTTTCGATCACACGTCTGGTGTCTCTACTGCACCTGCTGCCACTGCTGTCAGTACGGTTCGCTCGCAGTGGACCACTCGTGATGCTGTTGCTTGCCTTGCTGTTCGTAGTCACCTGCCGTCTGCTGAGCGCGCGCACTTTGGCCAGTACAAGACTGCTCAGTCAATGTATGACGCTGTCGTAGTGCGCTACTCCTCCCCTACCACTGCTGCCCTCAGCCGTCTCATGCTGCCGTACCTTTTCCCTGACCTTGCCGCCTTTGCCACAGTCGCTGACCTCATTACTCACCTCCGCACTAGTGACGCCCGCTACCGCGCTGCGCTTCCCACTGAATTCTGTGCCAAGAACCCCCACCCCCCCCCCCCCCCAAGTACATCACCCTTTATTACCTAGTCATCCGCCTCCCTGACTCCCTTGCTTCAGTCAGGGACCACTTTCTCTCCCTTTGCCCCACCGAGCTCACCGTCGACCTGCTAGAGGAGCGCCTCACTGCAGCTGAGAAGAGTATCTTAGCTGTGGCTGCTTCTCGCGGAGACCCTCGCGCCCCTTTCTTTGAGGGGTGTTCCCCTGTCCACCTTCTCCCCTCTGTTTCTTCTGCTGCTGCTGTCAACCTCGTTGGCACTGAGGAGGTCGGGGCTGCGTCTGCTCCTAGTGGGAGGCGCCCCAACAGCAAGGGCAAGGGGGGCAAGGGTGGTGGAGGGGACGGTGAGGGCGGCGGTGGAGGTGGTGGAGGAAGCGGAGGGGGTGGCGGTGGAGGTGGGGGTGGTGGCGGGAGTGGGGGCTTCGGTGGCGGCGGTGGGGGTGGTGGAGGCAGCAGCAGCGGCGGTGGAGGCAGCAGCAGCGGTGGTGGAGGTTGCGGCGGCGGTGGTTCTGGTCGAGGTGGAGCCGCGCAGTGTGGAGGCTTTGGTGGTAGCCAGCGCCAGCAGCAGCAGCGTTCCCGTGAGACCCCGTCGGCCCAGCAGCTTCGTGAATGGTACGCTGGGCGTGGGAGGTCTGGGGGTGTTGGTCCCTGCACTTACGTTCTTCGCACCGGCGGGCACCGTGGGGAGATGTGCGGGCTGCCACACACTGTGCAGCGCTGCTTCGGTCGCCTGACTGACGCCTGGCGTGCCCAGTTTCCTGACGCTGTTGAGCTCCCTCGCTGGGGTGATCTGCTTAGGCAAAATGTTGCTATCTTTGACCTTGATTTCGATGCTATCCTTGCTGCCATGTATGCTGTGACTGATAGTGCTGAGGGTGACTGCTACGTGTGTGTTCCCCCCGACCCGGGCATTGAGGCTGCTGCTCTAGGTGCTAGTGAGTCTGCTGCTCCATGTACTGGTGAGTCTGCTGCTCCAGGTGCTGGTGAGTCTGCTCTCTCTGGTACTGCACCTACTGAGGCCTTGCACACTTTCACACTTGACTCTGGTGCTTCGCGCTCTTTCTTTCGCGACAGCACCACACTCACGCCGCTCAGTCGGCCTGTCGCAGTCTCCCTGGCTGACCCCTCTGGGGGCCCAGTCCTTGCACACTCTTCCACGGTTTTACCGTGTCCTGCGGCCCCGTCGGGCTTGCTGTCGGGACTCCACCTCCCCTCGTTCTCTACGAACTTGGTGAGTGGAGCTGACCTCCAGGACGCGTGGGTTGACCAGTTCACCCCTGGAGGTCAGCGTGTGACCCACTGCACTTGCTCTCGGACGGGCCGCCACCTGGCCACGTTTACCCGCCGGCCTGGGTCGAGTCTGTACACACTGACTACTGCGTCTCCTCCGGTTACTGCGTCTGGTCAGGTAGCTGCGTCTGGTCAGGTGTTTTCTGCCGCGTCCAGGTCTAGTCCAGCGTCGGCCCCCTGCTCTTGTCGTCCTCTGTCACACGAGACTCTCCTTTGGCACCACCGCCTTGGTCACCCCTCCCTGCCTCGTCTTCGAGGTATGGCCTCCCGTACCCTTGTCTCTGGTCTCCCCCGGTCCCTCCCTCCCCTTCCTTCGGGGCCTGCCCCTACCTGTGTTCCTTGTGTCGAGGGCCGGCAGCGCGCCGCTCCTCACTCCTCCGAGTTCCCTCCGACAGAGGCTCCCCTGCAGACTCTTCACATGGACGTGTGGGGCCCTGCCCGCGTCCATGTACGGGGTCACGAGCGTTACTTTCTGCTGGTCGTTGACGACTACTCGCATTACACCACAGTCTTCCCCTTGCGCCGCAAGGATGAGGTCACTGAGGTGTTGATCGACTGGATCCGCGGTACCCGTCGCCAGCTCAGTGAGAGTTTCGGCTCGGACCTTCCTGTTCTGCGTCTCCACTCAGACAGAGGTGGTGAGTTTTCCTCCGACCTTCTGAGGGCTTTCTGTCGTGCGGAGGGCATCCGCCAGACGTTCACGCTTCCGGCCTCCCCACAGAAAAATGGGATTGCTGAGCGCCGCATTGGCATGGTCATGGATGTCGTTCATACGTCTATGATCCATGCGGCTGCTCCCCATTTTCTGTGGCCGTTCGCGGTTCAGTACGTTGCGCATCAGATCAACCTTCAGCCTCGTGTCTCCTTGCCGGAGACCACACCTACTCTGCGGTGGACGGGGAAGGTTGGCGATGCGTCTGTGTTCCGTGTCTGGGGATCTCGAGCTTTTGTCCGCGATGCTTCCGCGGACAAGCTGTCCTCCCGTGCTGTTAGCTGCGTCTTTCTTGGCTTCCCCCCTGACGCACCTGGGTGGCAGTTTTACCACCCCACCTCACGTCGTGTTCTGTCCTCTCAGGACGTCACGTTTGACGAGTCGGTATCTTACTACCGTCTCTTTCCCTACCGCACTGCCTCTATCCCCCCCCCGCCACTCTTCCTAGCACCAGGTGCTCCTCCGGTAGACCCCCTCCCCCCTCAGGGTCCTACCCCCTCAGGTGTGTCTCAGGTAGACGCTGTAGAGCCTGTCGAGGTAGCTGTCGACTAAGGTGCTGCTAGGGGTGCTGAGCCTGCGGGTGCGGGGACTGGGGGTGCTGAGCATGGGGTTGCTGAGTCTGAGGGTGGGGAGCCTGGGGGTGCTGAGCCTGAGCGTGTGGAGCCTGGGGGTACTGAGTCTAAGGGTGCTGAGCCTGAGCCTGATGAGTCTGGAGGTCCTCCGGGTGTCCCGTCACGGCGGGAGCCCCTCTCTCCGCAGCGGCTACGTGAGTGGTACGCTCGGCGCTGTAGCCGTGCTGCTGGGGCTACGGGGCCTGCTGCTGGAGGTGCTGCTGGTGCTGGAGCTACTGGAGGTGCTGCTGGTGCTGGAGCCGCTGGTCCTGGAGGTGCTGGTGCTGGAGGTACTGGCACTGTTGGAGGTCCTGCTGGTGTTGGGGCTGCTGGAGGTGCTGGAGTAGGAGTTCCCGGAGGTGCTCGTACTGGAGGTACTGGAGCTGCTGGGGCTGGTGGTGCTGGAGGAGTTGGAGGTGTAGGTGCTGGTGGAGCTGGAGATGTTGGAGGTACTGGAGCTGTTGCTACTGGGGGTGCTGCTGGAGCTGGTGGTGCTGCGGGAGTTGTAGCTGGAGACCCTGGAGCTGAGGGTACTGGTGCTGTCTCTGCTGTTTCTGGAGGTGCTGCGCGGCCGCGGCCGTACTACGTTCCGCTCCTTCAGCAGGTTCTTGGTCTCCCGCCTTCTACTGGTCCTACTCCTCCCTTATTGAGTCCACTGCCTGTACAGTCGCAGTTACAGTCAGCCTCTCCACTGCCTGGTCCTTCTCCTTACTCTGGACCGACTAGAGGTCTTACGGAGCGTCGTGAGCCTGAGTCTCGTCCTGCGTCGCCTGAGTCTCGTCATGCGTCACCTGAGTCTCGTCTTGAGTCGCCTGTCTGCGCTGTTCGCACTGGTCGTCGTGTTCCGCGTCAGCGTCCTCCTCCTGTCCCCGGCACTCACTCTATGACTCTACGTCCTTCCACTGCTCCACAACGTGTCCCTCTGCCGTCTCCTCCTGCGTCCTCTCTTCCTGACGGTCCGGACCCGGAGTCTGACTCCTTTTGTGCTGCTAGTCCTACTGTCACGCGTTTTCTAGCCACTGCTGTCACTGACCCCTCGTTTGAGTCCACTGATGCGTCTGCTCTCGTCGCTGAGCTTGTTGATTTTGCTGCCGCCTCTCGTCTAGACTACGCCACTAGTCTTGTTACTAAGTCTGAGTCTGTGTCTGTCTGTCCTCCGTCCGTCGAGGTTTCGTGTGCTCTTCGCACGGACGTCCTTGAGGACAGACAGGAGGAGTTTGAGTGCTTTGCCGCTGCTGTACCTCATCTCGTGTCCATGCTGCTTGCCCCTGAGGGAGACCCGGATGCACCAGACATCCCGACCCCGCGCTCTTACGTAGAGGCGATAGAGGTTCCCTATTCCTCTCAGTGGTAGACAGCCATGGATACAGAGATGGCTTCCTGGAAGTCCACAGTCACCTACGTCGACGAGGCTCCCCCGCCTGCGGCGAACATCGTCAATGGCATGTGGATCTTCAGGGTGAAGCGGCTGCTGGGTTCTCCGCCTGTCTTCAAGGCGCGTTACGTTGCACGAGGCTTCAGCCAGCGACAGGGAGTTGACTTCTTCCATACCTTCTCCCCGACCCCGAAGATGACCACTCTTCGGGTGCTGCTGCACGTCGCCGCTCAGCGTGACTACGAGTTACACTCGCTTGACTTCAGCACAGTCTTCCTACAGGGCAGCCTGCACGAGGAGATCTGGCTGCGCCGCCCACCTGGCTTCACTGGGTCGTTTCCTGCTGGTACCCAGTGGAGCCTCCGGCGGCCAGTCTACTGTCTCCGCCAGGCACCCCGTGAGTGGCACGACACACTCAGGACGACTCTTGCTGCTCTTGGTTTTGCTCCTTCCACTGCTGACCCGTCGCTGTTTCTCCGCACCGACACCACTCTTCCGCCTTTCTACGTTCTCGTGTACGTAGACGACCTTGTCTTTGCTACTGCTAACACTGAGGCACTCGCCCACGTGAATTTGGAGCTGCAGAAGAGACACACGTGCACAGACCTGGGTGAGCTGACAAGCTATCTTGGCTTGCGGATCACCCGGGACAGAGCACAGCGCACCATTACCTTGACTCAGTCACATATGGTGCAGCAGGTCCTTCAGCGCTTCGGCTTCACGTACTCCTCGCCACAGTCCACTCCTCTGCCTACCGGTCACTTGCTCTCAGCTCCACCTTCGAACGAGTCCGTAGAGCCGAGTGGCCCGTAACCTGAGCTTGTGGGCTGCCTCATGTACCTGATGACGTGCACTCGACCCGACCTCGCGTACCCTCTCAGCCTCCTGGCACGCTAGGTGGCTCCCGGCAGGCACCGAAAGGTGCACTGGGATGCTGCGAAGAGGGTACTGCGTTACTTGTGCAGTACGTCGGGCATGGGGCTAGTGCTTCGAGGACGGGCTCGAGTTGTCCTCACTGGTCACGCAGACGCCTCCTGGTCGGACAACTTGACTACGCAGCAGTCGTCACAGGGTTACACCTTCAGCCTGGGCTCCGGCTCTGTCTCTTGGCAGTCTACCCGCTCGTCTTCTGTTCTCAGCTCCAGTTGTGAGGCTGAGATCTACGCAGGGGCCATGGCTGCACAGGAGTTACGCTGGCTCACCTACCTGCTGACCGACTTGGGAGAGCCGCCTCGTTCTCCTCCAGTGCTGTACGTCGACAACAAGGCCATGATTGCCTTGTGTCAGGAGCACAGACTGGAGCACAGAACGAAGCACATCGCTCTGCGCTACTTCCTTGCTTGAGAGGTGCAGCGGCGTTGTCAGCTTCGTCTTGCTTGTGTGGCCTCTCGGGCCAACACTGCTGATGTTTTCACCAAGGCACTTCAGCCTTGTGATCATCAGCGTTTCTGTACTGTTCTAGGCCTTGTACCTACTGTGCCTCACTTGCTTACTTCTTGACTCTGCTTGTACTGTGACCTCTATACATATACCTGCATGCTTCCACTTGCTAGGTTGTGTTCACTGTATTGCTTGTTCTCCTTTATATAACTCTGCATGTGAACTGGCACTGTGGCCATTTGCTTGTGCTCAGAATGCGTGGTGACTTTGTGATCCACCCTGAGCTTGCTTTGCCTTTCTTGACCGGTCTTGTGACCTCTTGTTCTCCCCCAGTTTGCCTATGGGGGTGTGTCAAAATTATATGCTATAGTCTGTTTAGGCTGTAGTGGGGTAGTTCATACAGGGTACAACACTTTTAAGTTTCCTACTTGTACCCACCTGCTTGCTAGTTCAGTCATTCATTCCTTCCTTCACTATTCTGACACCAAGTGCGAGTTTTTTCAGGACCGGCTAGAGTTTTTGGGGCACGTTATTTCAGAGGCTGGAGTAGAAATCGACCCGAAGAAACTGGACATAGTAAAAGCGTGGCACCCCCCGACGAACATCACGGAGCTGCAGAGTTTTTTAGGATTTGTTAACTACGTGCGTCGGTTCGTGTCAAACTTATATATACTATAGTATGTTTAGGCTGTAGTGGGGTAGTTCTTAGAGGGTACAACACTTTGTGTTTCCTACTTGTACCCATCTCCTTTCTAGTTTCACCCATTCTTCTCGTTAATTCTCACATGGTATAGAGCAGGTTCCCTAGTGGGACTGTTTCTTCCTAAGGGCCCACCACGTTTATTTTTTTTTTTCCTGCCCGAAGCGCGCTTCGCGCACTGCCCTGACCTACTCCTACGCGGCCCCTTAGCGTCCCCTTCGCTGCCCCTTAGCGGCCCCTTCGCGGCCCCTTAGCGGCCCCTTTGCGGCCCCCTAATGGCCCCCTAACGGCCCCTTCGCGGCCCCCCTACGGCCCCTTCGCGGCCCCTTATCGGCCCCTTCACGGCCCCCCTAGCGGCCCCCCTTCACGGCCCCGTCACGGCCCCTTAGCGGCCCCTTCGCGGCCCCCCTATCGGCCCCTTATCGGCCCCTTTCGCGGCCCCCCTTACGGCCCCTTCGCGGCCCCCTAAGGCCCCTTCGCGGCCCCCTATCGGCCCCTTCGCGGCCCCTTAACGGCCCCTTCGCGGCCCCTTTTCGGCCCCTTCGCGGCCCCTCCGTGGCACCTACGCGACGTCGCCCCTGCTAGCGACGTCGCCCCTACCCGCGGCGTCGCCCCAGCCCACGGCGTCGCCCCAGCCCGCGGCGTCGCCCCTGCCCACGGCGTCGCCCCTGCTCGAGGCGTTGCCCCTGCTCGTCGCGTCGCCCCTGCCTGCTGCCGCAGCCCCTGCTGAAGCGGCACCTGCAGTCGCGGCCCCTACCCTGCTGGCGCGACACATGCTGCTGCGGCCCCTGCTGTCAAGGCCCGGCCCCGCACCCGCTCCTGGTAAGCACCCGAGCCGCCCAGCCAAGCCGCGTCGCCCAGCCGAGCCGCGCCGCCCAGTCGAGCCGAGCCGCTCAGCAGCGCCGCGCCGCCCCCACCAAACCGCACTGCCCTACTGAGCAGCACTGCCTTGCACTGCCCTGCTGCTATTGCTTCTACTGCTGCTACTGCTCCTACTTCTGCTATGGCTAGTCCTACCGTTCTCACCTTTGATGCTGAGGGACGTGCAGTTGATTTTGACGTGTGGGTTGACGACCTACAGCTCTTCCTTCAGTGTGATTCTAGGGATGGGGTGTCCCTCTTCGATCACACGTCTGGTGTTTCCACTGCTCCTGCTGCCACTGCTGACAGTACTGTTCGCTCGCAGTGGACCACTCGTGACGCTGTTGCTCGTCTTGCTGTTCGTAGTCACCTACCGCCTGCTGAGCGCGCGCACTTTGGCCAGTACAAGACTGCTCAGTCTTTGTACGACGCTGTAGTTGCACGCTACTCCTCCCCTGCCACTGCTGCCCTCAGCCGCCTCATGCTACCGTACCTTTTCCCTGACCTTGCTGCCTTTGCCACTATTGCTGACCTAGTTGCTCACCTTTGCACTAGTGACGCTCGCTACCGCGCTGCCCTTCCCACTGAGTTCTGTGCCAAGAACCCCCCCCCCCATGTACATCAC